GGAGTGGTTTAAACCAGATTTTCTGATGCTGCATAAACTATAAAAATTCAATTAATATAAGTTATAATTATTCAAGAATGGCTCTCTGTTCATTTAAAATAGAAGTTTACATTTGCCTATGAAGTCTGATTGCCCTAAGCTCCAGCCTCTGTCTAGTTAAGCCCTCCCAGAGCTCTGGGCAACTTAACTCATTTCACCCTAGGGGAACATGTATTAAGGTTACACAACAGTGTCCTTAATTATCCCCAACACAGACTCCCAATTTTACCTTACTGCTAATCAAATCAGTATCTCTTCCCTCCAATAAAAGCAACATAACCTCTCAGATTATTGAAGGGTAGCATAGACTAGAGAGAGGGAAAAAGGTTTTGAATCAGAATGCAAAGATCAGCAGTAGCAGCACCAGCAAAGGGAAATAAAAGCACCTCTCCATGTGTTAAGTAAAATAATGGGGTCCTGGACCCTATTCCCCAGATCGTGAAAATGTTTTTTATAAGAAAAGGAAGAATTCAGGTTGGGAATGGAACTGGGGTTGATAATTAGCCCACTCTAACGTATAGATATTGCTCTGAATTATTCAGATAGGACCAATTCAATCAAGAGCATCTTTTAAAATAGAAGAGAGACAGAGGAATCAGCCTCAGAAGGTCACAGCAGACAGCAGACTTGGCCAGCTAGTGCTGACTTTAGATGGCAAAGGGTCATGAGTCAAGCAATGTGGGCAATGTCAAGAAGCTGGAAGAGGAAAATGGAGTCTACCCTAATGCCTCCAGAAGGAACCCAGCCTTGATGACACCTTAAAATAGCCCAGTATGACCCATCTCAGACTTCTGATAACAAATTTGTGTTTTTTAAGCCACTAAGTTTGTGGCAACTTGTTACAACAGCAATTAGAAATTAAAGCATTCCATGAGGAATAATTAGGAACAGGCATTTAGTAGAGAAAATACAAACGTTCATAGATTTCAGTTGGTAAAGAAAATGTTGACAGATAACTTGGAGCAGATGTATGTGCAACAACTAAAAGTTTTCTGTAAACTGTAAAAAGTACCCTAAAATATGTGTTAATAGTTTTGATTCAGATCATGGCAAGAATGAAATGATACAGACACACTCTCTAGGGACGCAACTAATAGCTTAAATTCAGAACTGCGTTGAATATAATTTAAGGTTTTGCATATATTCTGAGGCAATAATATCTCATGTTTAAAAGTATAGGTACTAAAAATAGAATTTTTAGTTCTATCACTTGTTCATTCTGTTGACCTTGAGCGTAACCAACAAAAATTTGAATTTACTTATGAATAAAGTGAAAGGTAACACTATCTACTTCATGGAGTGATATAAAACACATAACACAGTATCTGGTATACAATGAGTTGTAATAATGTCATCTATTTGTCATATATACCTATATATTCATGATTTTCATTTCAAATGTTGGGCAATTCAAACACATTATTTCATTGTTTTCACAGAGACCCAATTAAACAATTTCTCCCAGGATGTTATAATGCTAGGATTGAGTGGCCCCAGTGGAAGAATTATAGTTGATATTCAGGTACCACTCAGTAGGAAAAGCCAGGTAAGCATCAAGCTGGCAGAATTTTGTCTTAATAAGGGGTATTTCTGCCTGGGTAAGCTTCACATTATAGCAGCATCTGGAGCTAGTCTCTGCACCCAGCAGGTGACTGTGGACACCAATGACTCCCACTTGTACTATAGGAATGAAGAATAAAGAGTGAAATCATCTGAAAGGAAGATACCAAAAACACCTACTGCTCTTGGCATTACTAAGCCTAAAGAGTGGCTAAATTTCTTCCCTATGCAGCATCACAGATGCTAGTCACTTGCACCTGTGCTTATGTGTGACAGGCTAGAGAAAACAGAAACAAAGACATCAGGGAAAAATACAGACTCCGTCTTAAAAATATAGTCACTCCATCACTTACAGTTGTAAAATATAGCATCTAAAGAATTATAGCCCTGACCAAATTATAAGTCTGTCCATTAGACAAACATTTTCCTCACAGAGTTTCACAGAGTAGACTTTCAACAAATATATAGTCAACTGAGCTGAAAGGGTTAACTATAATAAAATACAGTAATATGAAATTTGGGGTAGAATAATGTATTTATGTTGAGAATATATGGCTTTGGGTCATGAATTACAAATCTTCACAAGAGAATTGAGCTTCATTCTTATTGAAAGCAAAAACTTACAATGGCAACAACCTAAGGCAGAGGGTGGGCATACAGCCCGGAGATGTGCAAATCAAAGAAGCAACAAGGAATTGCTCTGAACCAGATGAAGAGGATTGAGAATATGGGTGAGATTTATGAATGGAGGATGCCCAAGAGACAGGACTTCTGGTGGCTTATAGATGACAGAAGCCCTCAAAACTCAGAGCTATGGTGTTGGGAGCTTTGACTTTGGGGATCTCAGATAAAGCTCCCTGATAACAGCAGACAGAGCCGGAGCAGTGATTATCTCTATTGATATTATGATGGAGTAAAGATTAGTGGCCTTTCACTTTGAAAGCATCATGTAAATCTTCAGGTTTCTTGTAGAGAGAGAATAATGAAAGAAAGAATAATGAAAAGAATACAAAGAAAAGAATGCAGGCCTGGCATGGTGATTCACATCTGTAATCCTAACTACCTGGGAGGCAAAGATTGGGAAGATCACCATGCAAGGTCAGCCATGGCAAAAAGTTTGCAAGACTCCATCTCAACTGATGGCTGGGCATAGTAGCATGTACTTGTCAACTTCAGTTACATGGGGAAGCACAAATAGGAGGATCACGATCCAGGCTGGCCTGATCATAAAGTGAGACCTTATCTCAAAATAACCAATGTAAATAGGACTTATGAAATGGAATGGCTTAATGGTACATCACCTGCCTAACAAGCACTAAGCCCTGAGTTCAACCCACAGTAGTGAAAAAAAAAAAAAGGAATGTAAAGACCCATTTAATTTGAGATGGAAAAATCAAAAATATGCCATGCTTCTTGCCAACATAACTGTAGGGTAAAATTCTGACATGTTACACACATATGATAAGAGAAGGGGGGAAGACACTAAAATTAAAGCAGTTAATTCTGTATAGTGTTTTTGTAAGTAATATTCAATTTCCCTTATTACATATTTTAAGTTTCTTTTTAAAATGAAATTTCAAAAAGCTCACCCCCTTCCCACGACTAGCTGATACATGACTTTTCCTGGGAGCAATGGAGCCCACTTGGTTTTTGAACAAAGTCCCAAATTTTGTATTTAATTATGTTCCCTGAAAAACTAAAGACATTTTGATATTCAGAGAAACTCACTGACTCTTAAAGAGCTTCCATTCTTGCTCTTTATTTCTTCATGTTGTTAGGACCCGGAATCCTATTCCCCCAAGAGACAGAGAGCCAGGCGTGAATGCAATCAACAAAGCAATCAACAGAGTTTATTGGGCTGGCTAGCCAGGGTCGAGCTCCCACACGGACACGCAGGACCGGTTAGGAAAACACGACCCTGAGCCTCTTTAGGGGAAATC